GGTATGTACCCGAGAGTCCTTTAGGAGCTAGCGGACATCATAGCATGCCCTATGGCAAAGATATTTGAGAATTCATGGTACTTGGGAGAGGTACCAGAGGATTGGAAAAGAGCCAACGTGGTCCCAATCTTCAAGAAAGGAAGGAAGGAAGGCCCAGGGAATTACAGACCAATTAGTCTGACATCCATCCCTGGAAAGATCCTGAAGAAAATTATCAAGGGTTCCATCAGCAGCAGGCTAACAGAAGATAACTTTGAGTGCCAGCCAGCACGGCTTTATTGCTGGAAGGTCTTGCCTAACCAACCTTGTCTCCTTCTATGACCAGGTGATGCATTGCCTGGACAAGGTAGACAAGGTTAATGTCATATATCTCGATTTCAAGAAGGCCTTTGATTTGGTCTCCCATGATGTCCTCGTGGCTAAGCTGGAAAACTGTGGCCTTGACCATCTCACTGTCCAATGGCTGGGGAACTGGCTCCAGGGTTGGACCCAAAGAGTAGTGGCTGATGGGAGCAAATCAACCGTGCACGAGGTGACTAGTGGTGTCCCTCAGGGTTCAGTATTCCAGCCAGTACTCTTCAATATTTTCATTAATGATCTGGATTTGGGCATCAGATGCAGACTGGCAAAGTTCGCAGATAACACTAAGCTATGGGGAAGGCAGTCACACTGGAGAACAGGTTGCGGATATAGGTCAACCTGGACAGGCTCGCAAGGTGGGCAGACCAAAACCTGATAGCCTTTAATGCAGAGAAATGCACCTTGAGAGGACAAACCAGCATCATACTTATAGGCTTGGCAGTGCTATGCTTGCTAGCACCATGACCTAAATAGACTTGGGGTTCTTGATTGACCACAAGATGAACATAAGCCACCAATGCAATGCCATGGCTGGCAAAGCAAACCAAACTCTAGCGTGCATTCACTGATGAATCTCAAGCAAAACCAGGGATGTCATCCTCCTGCTCTACTCAGCCTTAGTGAGGCCGCAGCTGGAGTACTGCATCCAGTTTTGGGTCCCCCACTTCAGGAGGGATGTGGATAAGCTTGCGAGAGTTCAGAGGAGAGCCACCTGCATGATCAAAGGCCAAGAGAGCAAGCTTTATGAGGAGAGGTTGAGGGACATGGGGCTCTTCAGTCTAGAGAAGAGAAGGCTCAGGGGGGACTTGGTGGCAGCCTATAAGCATGTAATGGGGGGTGCACCAAGATCTGGGAGAACAGTTTTTCACCAATGCTCTCCAAAGGATAACAAAGTATAATGGCCACAAACTTCTGGGAGGCCGACTTAGACTGGACATGAGGAAAAACTTCTTTACGGTCTGAGTGTCCAGTGTCTGGAACAGACTCCCCCCAGTGGTGGTGCAAGCACCTACTCTGGACTCATTCAAATGGCATTTGGATGCTTATCTTGTGGGAGTTGTTTGACCCCAGCAGACTTCCTGCCTGTGGCAGGGGAGCTGGACTCGATGATTTTGGGAGGACCCTTCCAGCCCCGAAAGTCTATGAATCTATGAAAAAAATACATCAGCCCCATCATCAAATTCTGAAATCGCTCCAACCCACATAGCATCCTCATCACTGGATAAAACAGCTGCACTCCCAGTGCTTCTCCACCTTGTCTGGTCTCTGAGAGAGTCCTCTGAAGCCAGCCCAGGCTTGACTTCTAGAACAGTGGGGAAGGCCAGGCTCCTTCCCGCTCTGAGACCTTGGCCTTTTGGTTTCTCACCTTCCCAGGTTGTCCATGGCTCTGACATGGGGAGCAAGCATCCAGTTCCAGACTTGAGAAAGAGGCCTCACCTCCTGTTGGGGTGACATAATGGAACCCATAGTTCTAAGCAGCACAGCAGACAGTCTTTTCAGTAAAGGCACTGGATTGGATCAAAGGCTAGCCAGCCAGTTTTTCTGTCCCTACCACCAGAGGGATGGTGTTAAGCCATCCCTCTGTCCCCAATCCAGCTCACAGAGCCCTGAGCACCCCCAAAGATACTCAGCTGTTTCATATCTAGTCTTCTAGCTCCCCAAAACAAGTGGAGGCACTTATCTCAGTCCCAGATTCTTCTGGCCAGGAACTGCCAAGATACCCTTTTTTCAGTCTGCTCTTTCATTGACATGTTTATATCCTTTGGGCAGCTCCTGGGTGTCCTGAATCTCCCCTTTGTTGTCAACAAAGCCACTCAAGATCCTGTTGATGCTAAGGGACCAATTTGTCTCATCCTCCACGGGGCTTAACACTTAACCCTTCATTCTCTGTGCACAGGCTAATGAAGTATACTGAGTCATACCTCTTGTGGGGTAAGATTGAGTGTAGGAAGTATCTGAAGTCCCAGACTAAAGTGTCTGGAATGGAGGATGCTTGCCCGTAGCATCTCGGGGGATCTGAATCCCAAGACCTCTGAACTTGGTTGTGCACGTAGATGCCTGCCAGTGGATTTGGGAGTATCTGAAGTCCCAGGGTGAGAGCCTGGGATGGAGGATGCTCACCAGTTGTTGCACCATACATAATGTTTAGAATGATTTAAGTTCTGCCTGCTCAATCAATATGGTTTTTGGAACTATTGCATTTTGCTCAATCAATATGATTTGGAACTGATTTAGCTGATTCGACTTGGAACAGGAAACATATTAATAAACCCCCCCAAAATAAATGGAGTCATACAGTGTTGTATCAACATGAACACAGTTAGCACAGAAATTTCACAATAAAACTTTCAGTCCATTCCACTAACTATACTCATGAATGATGGATCATAATTAGTGCAACTCTAGGGCAAACTCCAGTCTTGATGCTACCAACATGAAAAAAAAAAAGACAAGATAACAAGTTATTTGGGTGAGATATGAACGTTTATTCTCATCTGGCTCCAAATTCTGTATTTGCCACTGTGGCACAGGAAAGAACTAAGCAGCAGGCTTTAAAGATTACTCTGAAGAACAAAGAACCAAAGAAGACTGGATTTAGTAAGTAGAAAGGGCTATTCATCTGCAAGCTTGCAGCATTGCATAGTGAAATATCAAGCTCTTCTCTCTTCTTATGATTATTTTGATTGGCACAGATCTTTGGAAATTCTATACAAGATTCTGCCAGATTCTAGACAACATTTTAAGTCATTGGTCTTAGATGGCCAGGTGACAGTAAAGAGAGACTAGGTCTATTCAGTTTAGAAAATAGATGATTGAGAGGGGAAGAGAAAGTAAATAGGGATTTATTATCTACCATGCCTCACAATACAAGAACTAAGGGTCACAAAATGAAACTAGTAGGTAATAAGTTTAAAGCTAACAAAAGGAAATTATTTTTCACATAGTATGCAATTAAAATGTGGAACACGTTGCCAGTAGCTGTTGTGGAACCTGATAGTTTAGCCACATTTAAAAAAGGATTAGACAAATTCTTGGAGGAAAGTGGCATCAGTAGCTATTGAGCATGGGAGTTAAGGATACAGCCTCTGAATTAGAACTTCCTATAATTTAAATCTTGGAGACTGCAAGTGAGAGAGGAATAGTAGAAAATCCCTGTTCATACCCTGTTCACTTTCCCTTTTAGCATCCACCCTCTACAACTGTGACACAGGATACTGGGCATGGTGGACCGATGGTCTGACCCAGTGAATGGCAGTTCCTATGTACTTAGGAATACTGTGTTTTTCTTGAAAGCAGTATCAGATTTTTATCCAAACCAAGAATGTCAAACCTCCAGTCCATGGGCCAGATCTGGCCCATGGAGCCATTCCATCCAAACCATTAGGGTACTTGCTAGCCAGTAAATCTCAGGGCATTGTTAGCTGGAGGCCGGAATTAGCCACAGAATTGAGGGCCACTGGACTTCATTGGACATGGCTCTCAGTGCCAGGGGAGGAGCATAGGCTGTGCTGACACAGCCGTGCTTGCCCTGCTGCTGGTTGCACAACTGCTAATGCTGCTTTTGACACGGTATATAATTGATTGGCCTACTGCCATTTGCCCTGCTGCTGCCCCACTGCAGCCACTGGCCCTGCTGTGACTGCTACTAGCCCCGTTGTCTAGATTCTTCTCTGATCTAAACTCAACACAGTTCCTTATTTTTCCCTAAAAACTCATTCATCCAATGGTATAGCAATTTTAAATATTTTAGATGAACTTGGGCAGACTTGGCTCAAAGAATTTCCAAGTGGATGTTGGTTTTACTGAAGTGTTATAAATTAGCTAATCTAGAATACCTGAGGCAGATTAGGTTATATTTCACAAGGCACTGGAAGTTTCTGCACCTTCCTTCAGATTTGTCCTTAAAGCTGATGTATGTAAGGCAGGTGCTTTGAAATTGATACGACCAACATTATTCCATCCTGCAGGCATCTTAATCTGAAACTCATTTTAGCAGAGCTGTTGGCAGTCTTCATTTAGTTAGGCTCACAGTGTCCTCCTCCACTGATTGACTATGGTTTGGGAACATGAATCAGATATAGACAGTCACTCTAGGAAGAAAAAGAAGTAACTTTCCAGTACAGTAACAATAGTGCTTAGAAATGTGCTGTTCCACAACCGATCCTCCTTTCCCCATTACTGCTGAGTCTTTTGTATATGGATATAGTACTGGAGAAAGAACGGAGGGTCAGCTGGTTGTGCAGACCTGCCCCCCGGGAGAAGGTCATTCGTGTCTGGGCTTGTGTGTCCCCCCCCCCCCCCCCCCCCCCCACTTCATACCCTCAGACTGGGCATTTCAAGGGCATGGAGGGTGCAAGAGCTACCAGTGGATACTGTTGGCTTAAGTTCTCTGATCTCCAGTGAATAGGGTAAATGCGTACCAGAAATAGAATATGTAGACAACACATTTGGAAGAACGTCAGTTGTTGCGCAGGTAAGTAACCTCTTTTTCTTCATTATTAGATATACAGATACTGAATTTTAATAATTGGGTACTAACCCTGTAATTTTAATGTATTTTGACAGTCATAAATAATGATGGACAGTGTCTAAATGTTATATATTATGTAAAAATATTTTAATGAATGGATGTTTAACAGGTGCTACGGTCATGGCAAGAATATGAACTAGCAATAATTATTATTAACTATGGGAAAAAGTTGTTGGATTCTTCACAAACAACATCCCGTGATCACTCTGGAGTTCTAGATGGTGAAGAAATGCACATTGACACAGATGCAGAAGATGAGGTAATCACTTTCTTTCGTATAAGAGCACCCTATCACAATAATTCAGATATGAAAAACTGTATATAGGGCTGCAGTAATTTAAGACCAATTCCTTATTGTTCTCATGGGATCCTAATTGGGATTTAGGTGGAATGTAACCACCTAGGTTCCAAAAAGTGTTCCAAGTCAACTCTGCTTCAACACCTACAAAAACCTTTAGGTAGGTAGATTCATTAGGTGCCTCCATTTTGCCTTGAAAATTTTGCTAGATCCCTGGAATGTACAAAAGCTGTCCAAATCAGGCATCTAAGAACCTAAATCCCACCTAATGTGTGTTGCAATCCAGGTAATATGAGAGACCTTTAAAATGTCAACGTTCCTGAGCCATGTGGTATCTATAATGCATACCTAGCTCTTGATTGATATCAACATCATTGAACATGGCATTCACAGCCACTCTCAAACCTTTCACACAATAGCCTTGTAGTTAGAGACCTGGGTTTTAAGACTTCCTCAGCTTGAGAGGGCCCAAACTGATATCTGCCACTTCCCAGAAGTATGACTTTAGGCAATAAAGTGAGGTACCTTCCATTTCTCCTGTGGAAGCTGGGCCATTGGACAGCTAAGGCTGTCATAGTCATGATGCCAGAAGGAGAGTAAGCAAGAGAAAATTTGTCTATGTAGCCTAGTGGTGAAAGTATGATGCTGGGAGAGAGTAATACTGGGTTAAGCACATAGGAACAGTCATACTAGGTGAGACCACAGGTCCATTTAGCCCAGTCTCCCGTATCTTATAGAAAGAATATTTTATACATAGCTGTCTAGGCTTATCTATTCTCTTCCCCTCTTCCTTTACAGCTTCCCGCATTCAGAGGCCTAGGAAGTTCTAATCTGCACCCTTAACTATAATGGTTGTACCCTTTAACTGTAATGTTTAATACCCATTGGTGGACCTATCCTCTATCAATTTCTCCCATTCTCTTTTGAACTTGGTTAAATTATCAGCCTATACAGCATCTTGTGGCAATGAGTTTCAAAAGTTGTTCTCACATACAAAAGAAAGTTCTTGTTCACACCATGTATGTTTTAAACCTTCTTCCTAATAATTTCTTTGTATGATCTCTAGATTTAGGGTTCTTTTTCCCAGTTGCTGGTGTTATGTTTTTAACCAACTACTTGATTTAAAATGTTCAGGTTGTGCAGTCAGGCTCCCTCTTATTTGTTCTTGCTTTGGCTCCATGACTCTTGCGCTTTTGACTTAACTGTGACCCAACTCAGCAATGAAGGAGGAGAGTGTTTCTTTAGAGCTGAAACTTTATCTTATTCAAGTTTCTCTTTTGGGATCTTGACAGCTCTCCTCTGGGAGGCCCTGAGTTAGATGCCTTAGGAGCAGCAGTAATTCAGACCCCTCTCTCCCTTTGCCTATAGTATTTCCTATTGTTTGACTGTGGACACCTTCCTACTCAGCATCTAGGTACTCTGCATCGGCCTTTGGTAGCACCTAATTCTCAGCATTGTGTAGGGATCCTAGGTTCATAAATCTCTTTGGATCACCCTCTTAGGGCAGAACACCTAATTTTTAGGTTTGCAATGAGGTGCCTATGAGAAGAATTTGACTCTGGCCCTTGAAGTCATTTATGGATATAATTTAACACATCAGGGAGGCTATCCACTGAGGATCACTTTTATCCACCAAAAGTTGAAATTCATTTTACCCAAACAATTGGCATAGTTGTATACTGGCTTTCACATTTCATCTTCAGGAATGATCCAGAGAACTGGGAAATGAAAAATTGAAATAACCGCTGAGTTCAAGAAAATGAAATTATCCCAAGCGTATAGAGCTAGAAAAGCTTTGCATTCTGTTGCTGCTGCTCCACAGTGCAGAGCAGGGGCTGGCAACCTTTTTGAGCCAGGGCCTGGAACAACCCCGATTCCAGTCTGGCCTGGGCCAGGTGGCTTTGGCGGCATGTCATCAGTGTGAAGGGTTTGTCTGCACCCAGGTTGAGGCCAGGCAGCTGGGAGTGCATTGACACTGCCGCTGCTTCTTCCTGCCCCCTGTACCCATGCTGCAGCTGGGCAGCAGCTTCCAGCTGGTGGGGAACTGAGCTGGGAGTGGGCAGCTGGGAACTGTGACCACACCGCTGCCACTGCCATTTCTCTTGTCATTTTTCTGCCCCCACCCCCTTCCCTGCAGCAAGGGTGCAGCTGGAGGCTGCCCAGTCCTGACTTAGTTCCCCACTGGCTGGTAGCTGCACCAGGCTGTAGCCAGGTGGCAGGAGAAGTGGCAATGATGTGGATGCAGCTTCCAGCTTGCCCAGCCCCAGGCAGAGCCTGTGGGCTGTATGCTGCCAACCCCTGGTCCAGAAAAACTCTTGTCAGCACTTTTCCCTGCACCAGTGATGCTGTCTCCCATGTTCAGTGCTGCAAATTTGGAATGATGGCATGAATTTTCATACTTGAAGTTATTCCTTACAGAAAATATTTCTATTGGACAGAACAGCAGTTGGTACTTTAAATGTTAATTCTGCTTGAATTAGCCTGTGCAGGGATATTTGAGGGATAATTCCTCATTTGTAGCTGCATACTATTAATATTAATAATAGTATTATAGTAGTGCCTCAGGATCCCAATAGAAATCAGGCTTCCTTTATGGTTGGTACAAACATAAACAAGTTGAAGTCCCAGCCCTGAAAAACATACAGTTTAAATACAGAAGACATTAGAGGCAGCACAGAAGCAGAATGAACAATGTAATGATATATAAATGTCATGTTAGTTCTCCCACATTTTGCTCTTTGTTTGTTTTTCTCTTTATTTTAAACTTTATGTGGGCTTTTTGGGCGGAAATTAACTGAAAAGAGAAAAAATAAGGTAATAGAAACATATAAAAGAAAGAGAAAGAAGGGGAGCATGTAGAGCAGGGTGGAATGAAACGGAAATAAAGAAGTGGAAGGAAAGCAGGAAGGAGTACAAACAAGCACCCAGTCGGCGCAGGGAGATGAGTATTTTGAGTGATTAGTGTACAAACTGGTCAAACACTGGCGACATCAAAGTCCAGGTGGTCCTGCTGCTTCAGTTGCTTTTTTCTGTTGTTCCCAAATGGGTTTCTGGATCCTAGCATATCTTTCCCATCTACATGTTGCTGCGTGAAGGAGGAGGGTTACATTGGCTTTAACGTCCCCACTCCTGGGATCTCCCCTGCATAGTTCACAAACTTCCAGCAAAACTATTTTCAATGAAAAATCAGGTTTCCAGGTTGGTTTTTTTTTTCTTGAAAGATGGCTGCTTTCTGTGGGACACTGGTGACTTTTTGAATATGTCAGTTAGTGACCTCTTTGCTGTCATGAAGGAGATGGGAATGGGTTCTTTTCTAGGCAAATGAGTGTCACTCAGCCAGGGAAGAAACTTAAAGTGCCAAACCGTTACATTACTAAGCTCTGAAGTGGATTTAAGGCAGGGAGGGGAACACCCCTAAAACTGCCCGCTTAGCCTTATAAAAACGCTTCTTATAGATGAGAATGGGCCATTTCAGCAAACCGTGAGGAGCCAGCCAGCTGCTGAACAGATATAATATAAGCAGCTTGCCACCCTATCAGAACTTGACAGATGGGTAGAAGATCTGTCCTTGTTCCTTTCAATTCCCAAACAAATACAGATCAGTTTCCTTCCAACAGGGGAACCACCTGAGTGAGCCACAACAGACTGTCTAGAGCATGTGTCCTCAGACAGTGAGGAAGAATTTGAAGCCCATGGGAATTTATTTCTATCAAGTCATTCAGTAATGTTTTGTTATATGATTTTTTTTTCTGCAGCAAGTTTAGGTAGCACAGGCTGCCATGTATTCAGCCTCTCAGACTGGGATTTCAACTCTGACAAGATCATAAACCATTTTAGTTTTTCCTTTTGGTTAAATTTTTATTATACTCAACTAATTCAGTGCATAGTCTGTAAAGCCCTGTAAGTCACAATTACATATAATGTTATTCCATAGTTAATTCTCAAGGCTGAGGTGGAAAAAAAAATCCATCTTCTATGTAATTTTGTTGGCTTCAGTGGAATTTTGCCAGGGATGAACCATAAATAATAGATACTAATCATTTATTACTTGTTATTCTTAGAGTGCTTGTAAGAAAACATCACAAGCCGTCGCAGTTGAAAAGGCAACTGAAAACTTAACTGCTCTGGAATCCAATCTTCTCAAACTGACAAAACCTGGTAGATATTTTAACAAAATATTTCTATCTTTTCTATGATTTCTTATGGCTTGCTGCAAAGAATGCTTTTCCCAAATAGTACTTGTGGGTTGTTTGTTTCTTTTTGAGAGGAAAATTAAGGGACATAATCAACAAAACATGATTTCTGCCATCTTATTTACCTTCCAGTAACACATGGCATTGCTTTAACATTTCCACCAATACTAGCTCGTTCCTGATTAAAAAAAGATTCAGACAAGTTTCAATATTCTCTTTATTGGTTACAGTGGAATTCTATGCTGCATCCTTAAACCAATGGTTCTCAAGTTTTTTAGGTTTACGGCACCCTTAGATAGGCTCACAGCACCCCTCGGAAAAGGCCAGCACTTGGTTTCCCACTTGTTTGTTTGTTTGTTTTTACTATAGAAAAATAACAAAGCAATTCTTCTGTTGCAAAGAACTTAGAAAGACAGGTCAGAATGTTTTTAACACTATGGATTCCTTAGTGTTTGAAATCTTTAGGTTTAGCTTGTGAATCATATTTGCACACCTAATGGTACAAACATTGCGTAGGACCCCACAAGTTTTCAAGGCATCCCTTTAAAAGAGTCTCTGCCATTAACTCTCTGCATGGTATTTACAGTACAATCTAGTTTGAGAATATAATGAACTGTTTCTCCTGACCCTTAATTTCTTGAAGGAGCAGATGAGCGCATGTAGAGGTATGTCTAACAACAGTTCTCAGGTTTATTTGGACCACACTTATTTATGACCCCAAGCCTGTATGATTATTAGAAATTTAAAACCAGCAAGTGCTCCTTACCCTTCTGAAATGATCTTATTACCCATTTGACATTATAACTACTATTTTTAGAAATGCTGTTGCAGAAAATTTTGTGGATTGAGGCAATACAGATATTAAATTTTAAAGATACAATCTTTCAGAGTTCATTAGAAAACTTGAATCATTGAAAGTTTGGTCATTATTATCTGAAACATATAGCTACTTCATATCCTGGATCAGATTAAGTATGGATTTTCTCTCTCTCTTGCTTGAATTGAAAGTATGTTTCTGCCATATTTGAATATTCCTTTCTTTGTGTATCAAACATTTCCTGTGCCTACTGCTTTTCTTTTTATTTAAAGGGTAAATGCGTGCATAGGGAAAGCAATCTACTACTCTATATTGGAGTAGGAAAATCCCCTCTTTGGAGAGGCTCTGAAACTAGGGAAGCACACACAAGTCACATTTTCATTTCCTTCTCTTTTCAGCTGCATATCAAAACTCTTCTTTGGGGATGGGAGCATAGAAATTATCTGACAGTTGCTGTCCACTCAAGTACAAAAAAATTGAAAAGCTCAGCACCCAGAATTTCTCTGTACTAGGCCTACTATACTCCTAAAGAGAATAATCCCCTGCCAGGGCTGACCTTGAATTCTGTAGGGCCACAGGTGGCTCTTCATGCAGCGCAGCACAGTGCAGGGGGCACCTGGAACGCAAAGCTCAGTGGGAGGAAGGGGGAAGGGAGCAGTGTAACTAGGTGGAGGCTGTTGTATTGTGCAGCCTGGAGGCCCTGCAGCCTGTGGTCACTCAGAAGTTGGACAGTAGTTCAGAGCAGGATTGGACAACATAGATTCATAAATTGTAGAGTCGGAAGGGACCACAATGGATCATGTCCAACCCCCTGCCCCTGGCAGGAAAGAGGACCGAGGTCAGATCGAGGTCCTGACCAAGGTCAGACCGAACAGACCAGCTAAAATCACTGGTAAATGTCTGGGCTCAGAGTTGGCCTTGGGAATATGGTGCTCTGGGCGAACTTGTATTTTGGCACCTTTTCCCCAGTCAGTGGTGCTGCTGCAGGCAGAGGCAGGTGGGAAGGGATGTGGGGCACAGTCGGGCAGGGAGGTGGAGGAGCATGATATGCCAGGTCAGCAGGCAGGTGGGCAGGCACCGCTGCTGCTGTGTGGGAGCAAGGCAGGCAGACTGGAGCAGGCACCATCTGGCCCACAAGTGTCCAGCCTGGCTCTTCCTGAGCAGTGGCTGGAGGCAGGGGGCGGGCTGGGCAGGGCACTGCTCCTCCTGTATGGGGCAAGGCAGGATGGTGGGAGAGTGCTGCTGTGAGCACTGGCTGCCCACATACACACACGTGTGTGTATGTTTGGTGTACCCCTGACCATGGCACCATGGATGATCACCTGCCCACCTCTAAGGCTGGCTCTGCCTAGGCTGCTAAGGAGCTACTATCATTGCAGTTGGGAATCTTTGTGGCGCTGAAGGGAAGTTCCCCGGAGAGTTAAAGTATTTTTGAAAGAGTTACAGATATATTTTAACATTTCAATGCCATGCGACTTAAAAATGGGTAGATCAATAAAAAAAATGTGGATGAAACATTAACATCTTCAGGCTTAAAGTGTATGTTTTTGTTTTCCAAATTTTGATAAGATTAAGAGAAGGTTTTGAAATGGAAATCTGAGTCAAGCTTTAAGTATAGAATCTGTACTGATGATTTGCCATTAGTTAGTAGTCTTCCCCTTCCATATCTGTGGCAGCAAATATATAGTATGCATGAAAATAGCTCTGTAGGAAATGTAAAAGTTAAGTGCAGAGATCCAATTAAATACATGTAGCTCATCTACACCCTGATCCTGTAACTTGTTCTGTAGATGTAGATGCCTGTGCTCATGCAGAACAAGTTGCAAGATCTTAATGAGTTTTGTAAGTTAATTGAAAATTAAATTGTTCATTTCAAAAGATACTGTACCATATAAACTCCTTGGAAAATTAAATTAGTGGATGAGTCAGTTACAGTAGAATGCATTTTCATCAGCCATGGTATGTGCCGTAAATGCTTGATTGTTAGGTTAGTATTGAAATATTGTGCTTGTCAGTAAATTAGGGGGGTGTTTCTGAAAAAAAATTGAAATACAGAAAATTTTCATCAGAAAAGATGAAAATGAAAAGCATTTAAAAATCCTCGATAGGGTGACTTAGAATGAAGGACATGATACAAAGTGCTAGAAGAGTCCCTGTTGACCGCATTAATAACAAATACTAGATGCCAGGATCACAGCTATGTTAACAAATATAGATAAGTGGTTTAGCACAATATATTCACCACTACAGCATGTTATTAACAAATATAGTGACAAAAGCCACTTTGTGAGAAATTCTTATGGGTGGATCAACACTTGCAGCATCCCATTGATGACTGTCTAAGAGGGAAATGAGGAAAAGAGTAGAGTTTGCCTGATTAACTGGAAACCTGGGAAACCATCTAGGTTAGCACAAAGAATGATTCAGGCTTTCTTGAAGATTTTCTCAAATTAAAATTTTATGTAACCAGTATTAGATCCCAAATGCTTATTCAAAGCTCATCTCCTCAAATTTAGCAAATAGGGGTAAAACACCGAAAGGCAATCTTTTCTATTCCTTTTTCTATAGGTACAAAATGTAATAACCAAAGCAGTATATTTAAAGAGCTCTCATCAGTGGTGGGCACTAATTTTCTTCAGTCATTTGGACAGTGTAGGCAAATGTATTAGGAGGGTTGGTGCTTTCAGTCAACATACTGAAATTCTTATAGCTTTTATTTTAGGGGATGAATGGACATTTTTAAGATGATGAGAATCAGATGCAGTCTTCTGTTGACTGACTTAAAGAGCTTGCAGTCATAGTACAGAGACAGTAATTTAATTGAATTAATAGGAACTACTAAACAAGACCCAGTATATAGTCATACATGGAAGAGATTTGTATTGTAACACCTGAAACCTTTATGTCATTTTCTTCTTTCTTTGTGCTCTTTTTCTTCTTTCCTTGCACTCCCACGTCTTTCCTCTTATTCTTTCCATACATTCCTAGTTCTGTCTTATTTATTTTTTGTTACTATGAAATGATTGTTATATATGACCTTTTTGGCCACATAATGTATTTAGCCTCTAAAAATTTGAGTCTTTTTAATAACAAAAAAGTGGCTGGAATAATTACATATTGCTTTCTTGCTGTATCTCCATTAGTTATGCCTTGCTCTGTATCCCTTTAAAAAATCCTTCATCTTTTTTAATTTCACTCTCACACACACACACACACACACACACACACACACACACACACACACACACACACACACACACTTATCTCATGTCACTGGTGGATGGGCAGGCAAAATGCTGGAACATTTCAATAACTCCACCTTCTTTTCCAGGATAAGACAGACATTGTTATCATGGCTCCTAGCCTTGTGATCATTGATATGACCATTCCACTACTGATCTCAGTGACCTAGCATAACTGGGTCAGGACAGGAGGATCTATGTGGTCAACCAAAGACTGCAGCGCTAGTGTCGTCAGGAAGGCTTTGGCTTTCATGACCACAGCCCGCTCTTTGGCGAGAGAGGCAGCGAGCTGCTGGGAAGAGATGGCCTCCACCTCTCTCCCCTAGGGAGGAGGCTCTTCTCAGCCAGACTGGCTGACCTGCTCCACCGGGCTTTAAACTAAGCCCGCTGGGGGACAGGGGGACTGCTGGGGGCACTGCTGGCCCGCTGAGCAATCCTTGCAAAGCCAGCAGATCACGGCGCTTCAGGGAGCCCACCCCTGCCCCAGCCCTGGTAAAATCTGTG